CTCTGTTTGCTTCAACCTTCATCAGGAGACAAGAAATAAATTATTACTTTGATTCATTTCAGGGAGAATCACCTCCACTGCTCCACCTTCCTCCATCTGTCCCAGCTCCACCCAGTCTCCTCCCATCATGCTCCTGTTCCTCTCCTCCAGTGCTGCAGTGGTTTTCCTCCACCTACTGGTTTTACTGGTGAGCTGGTGTTTTCACAGGAGTCATGAAGGTGAGGAAGTCAAATGTTTTCAACTTCTCTTCCTCTGAGCTTCTGGGATTAAATCCAGAAACTCTGTAATCTGTAGTTTCCAGATTTTCTTCAGATTTCCTGGCATGAAGCCTCACTTTGAACATCTGGAGAAATTTAGCTGAATGTTTCTGCTGCTTTGGTTTCAGGATCTGGATTTGACCCACAGCAGTTTGGACCCAGCAGAGGTGAGTCTGGAGGATTTCTGGGCTTTTCTGGGACCAGAGTTCTGGATCAGACAGAATCCAGACCGGATCAATCAGGACTTCAGATCTGCTTAGAAAACATTAACACAGTCAGAGCATTTTTCTGCTTCCTGCCTCCATGTTGGTTCCAGTAGAGCTGCTTCACTGTCACTCAGCTCCCCTTGTGGTCAAACTGCGTTACTGCAGCAGCTTCACTGACCTGAACTGCAGGCTGGTTGGATGTCTGATGGATCTCAGCTGATCTCAGCTTCCTGCATGCACACTGAGCATGCTCAGTGGGTCGCCATGGAGCAGAGCAGATGTTTACAGCTCTACTCCAGTCTACTCTGGTTGGAACCAGCAGTTCTCCCAGGGCCTTACTGGGAGAACTGCTGGTTCACAGATCATTTCACTTTTACTGATAAATTCAGTCTTATTGTTCTCTATTCAGAAAGAAACTTTTTGATTTATTTTCCGCTCTGTAACCTCATTATATCGTCTGAATCTGGTGAATTTTCTGCAGGAACCTCTACATGTGTCCTCTACTCAGCACTGAGGACAGACGTCCATCAGGGACAGATCGTCTGC